AATTCTGTTTACGTATATTTAACATCAGATGATATGGATGACAAGAAATAATCCTCTATGTGATATGAATGCTTTCAAATTATGGAAAAGAGTAATATTATATGACCATTTAATCTAGAGTCTAAATACAAACTAAAAATGTTAGGTACTGTCTCACCTATTCACAACCTTTTAAATTACGATTACGTGCTAACTTCCTGTCATATTTCAATGAAATTCACAAAACACATTTTGTGACGTCACAATCTAGCCATTCCAAATGTGTCAAATATAGTTGCTATCGCAAGAAAAAAAAATGCACAAATGACGAACCTAGTCACAGCAAAATATGATAATGAATTTCGTTAGTTACATTATGTCTCATAATTATGCAAAACACTTTAACGTGTATTTAATCAGCTTCATGTATAAAGATAAGGAAGAGGCGTCAATTTCTTAAGACCATTGCAACAATCACAAACTGAGGCATGGTCTTAGGAACCCTCAGGGAAAGGGAACAGAGGAGAGAGTACTCCTTTCCTCATAATTTTGCTCGTATATAGAATATTATAGATACATAGCCTCTTTATGCTTGTGTTCCCTCAATATAAACGTCAGATGACTTTTGTTTTGCTTTGCAAGAAAGTTTTGGTAGTTGATATTGTTCCAAAGGAATATATATGGCTGTACTTGGAACCCCAGCCCTCAACTTAAATTGCAGCTAGGCCAGTGTGGCCGATCAGACTGTATTAATGAATTTTATAGCTATCAAATGTTTCTAAAAAAGGTTCCATTCTACAATTCGCATCAGTAGAGTACACATGTATAGAAATATGGGCCAAAGATGTACTCAAATCACATAGAAGTCTTAGGCATTGTTGAAAATCCAAAGGCATGCATGTAAACACATATTTGCATCACGATAAAATGTAGTTTTTTTTTTAAATGATACCTTATTATTTATAAATTCATTTGTATATTTATGAGTTAGAAGCGTGCTTAAACTGAAACTAACGCAAATTCTACATGTATTACTTTTCAAATACATACGTTAAAAATTGCACGCAGAGAAAAAGTCAACTGTTTTTGACGTCACTTTAAAAAAACGTCGACTGTTAAGGACTAAACATTGACTTGATTTACATGTTACGGACTTGTATATAAAACATGATGAACAATTCTAATTTTAGCTTTGTAAAGGAGTACTATGTAAAGAAACGACTTTGTAATTGTTAATTAATTAGTTTTATTAAAAAAAAATAATTAATCTTATTAATATTTGAGTTCTATTATTAATTACGGAACTGGACTTGTGTATATATTTAAACAATGAAGCATTGAAAAGTTTATTTGAATTGCTGAAATAAATATTAACTTTCAGTATGTGTTTTCATAATGCAGTATCATTTATATATACAGTTCATGTTTATTATACATTAATGCTCATATTTTTTAAAAATTTATCTCTTTATTATGATGAATATAAGTTATGAAAATATCATTACATGTTGTTAATATTTGTAATAATGGTTTTTTTTTTTTGTTTTAATTTAAACTGTTTAAAAATTAAATAAAAAATAATTTAATAAACAATCTTACTGCCACTAATTAAAACTTAAACGCCATTTGATAATTGCATTTACTAAACTTACTTCACACGTTGCATGATAGTACTTATTTTAGATTTTAGAGTTATCTTTTCTTAGTTAGAACTCGTAAGTTTATTCAGGAATATTCAGTAGAACCAGTTTAAAGTCAAGTATAGTCCAGTGGTTATTCTTTTTACGCATTGATTTTTATGGTAGGTCATTGAGGTGAAATTCCTTAGTGAGTTTTCATTGTTATCTTAAATTCACTTTGAATCTAGCCGTAAGCAAAAGTGCTTGCTTGTCTGATAAATTTAGTTTGATTTATAATTCTATTCTTTATTTTCTTTTCCTAACACTTTGCTTGATTGAATGAATGAGTTTGAATGAAAAAAGTATTTGATGAGTAAATGAAAAAATGTGTTAAACATATAGTAAATGATTTCAAGGAATATAAATGTAGAGATCTAATTTTGAAAGGAGAAGGTACAGTTTCAATACTAATTTTGCCCAATATTTTTCTAAAATATGAAAGTGATATATGAAATCAAAATTCGTTATTTCTGAATCATAGGAATTCCATGCAGATATATGACAAAAATGGTTTTTCTCATATGACTTCCTAAATTCTAATTGTGACGTCATTAACTTGTGCATTTTCCCGTATTTTCTTAAAAAGTTGCAGAAGACATCAAATTTCAGGGGAATTTTCTTTCAGAAAACATACTCTGCCACCGTCGCTCAGAAAGATTTTGAGATATATGATTTTTCAAAGCATTTTACATAAAATATCGAAAACTTGAAGTAGGCTACGGTGGCAGACACTATTTTCTTAAGGTAAATAAGCACAGAAATGATTCATTTTGAAGCTTTTCTACATTAGACTTAGAAATGTACCAAATTAATGACGCCATATTTCCCGAATGGTCCTCTTTCGTGCCATATTCTTTAATAATTTATCATATTCATCTACTCAACTCTTGTTTAATTCAATTTCATAACTTTTTTAAGAACATTGAAATTTTAGGGCATAATAAAACCCAAACTGTACTTTCTTCTTACACTGATAAATATGAAATATCTTTTATGATGAGAATAGATAAAAGAATACATTATAAAACTTCGTCAAGGAACAATTAATCGTTTTTGTCGAAACCACCAGCAATCTACAAAAAGGTGAAACAATAGGAAAAAACAGCCATCTACCGTTATATTACTTTGATTTATGGAATGTGAACAACTGATATCTTTAACTTAGAATATTCACGACTTCCTCTCTACAGAATAGATCTGAGAGTCTGTTCTCTTTTATTTGAAAACACTGTGAGTAATACATGACCATCATAGCTTTACTTGAAAAATAAGAATAGTTTTTAGTACGAAGATCTCACAATTTTTTCATCAGTTGAAGATTAAAATCCAACTCTTAGCAATTCAAAGTAAGGTTAAGAATAGATTTATCATATTCATTATTTTTTAACAAGAATATTTCTAAATATTTGAATATAAATAAATACAGGAAAAATCGTTTTTCATCATTAGACTAGATTTTCATAATACAGCCTGATAATTTTTTTTTTTATTTCTATGATTCCCCCTCCCAATTCTGTACTCGACTTGTGTTTTTTCTTCAAATTATATACAGGACAATGTACATGATTGAATTCTTACATCCCCAATTCAGAAAATCAATAATTTTGATGTGGTGTTTTAAAGGAACATGTAAGTTGAAATAAAAAAAATGAATGAGGACACGTACATGTTCTTGTACGGTATTTTGAGATAATATTTTAATATACAATTTGTCAAAGACCAGTTATTCTTTTCTTTTCTCCTTTTTTCAATAAAAAGTGTAATAGCAACTATCATCTTGTTTATGCATTGAATGATATATTTACAAAATTTACCATCAATGGACTATAATTAAGAACCCTCTCTACACTGCACACTAAAGAGTTCTGATTCTAAGGTATTTTTCTACGGTTAGAGTGATCTGCCCTTAGATCTAAATTCTAAAAAATAGAAATTTACAATATATTACTCAATTTGTAATCAGTTCAAGTATTCTTAACATTTTTGAAAGGCAAAGATAAATTAACCGAACGTGATTTGTATTCACTGATACTGTGTTGTGTTTGAACATTCTTCCTGGGGGTAAATGCCATGCACCATACATTGAAAATCAGATAAATAAGCTCAATATTAAGTCCTTTATACAATATATTTTTCTCAATGTCCAAAAAATTGTTTTCACTTGTGTAGAGAGGGTCCTTAAAATAAAAATAAAGAAAATAAATAAGTAAAAAACATGTAAAATTCTGCACTATGGTTGGTTTTATTTATAGTTAATGATGCTTTTTTATATCACTGGTATACTGATTTGATAGAATATTTGACGAACTACCAACACTTTTTTGTATTCATTTTTGATGCATTGTTCATTACTTAAGAAACCAATCACAAAAAAATTATTAAACATCAATTAGTTTCCATCTTAAATTACTTTTTTTCTTTGTTTGATAAGTTGTTTGGCAATATTAAATTAACCCCATTTTCACACTGCACTTAGCAAAGATTCCACAGGTGTATAAGTTTTTAGGTCACCTGAGTCACTCAGGTGACCTATTGCTATCCGTTTTCGTCCGTCATCGTGCGTCGTCCGTCGTGTGGTAACATTTGAACATTTTCAACTTCTTCTCTGAAACTACTGAACCAATTTTAGCCAATTTTGGCACAAAGCATCTATAGGTGCAGGGGAACAAAAATTGTGAATTTCATGGTCCCTGCCCCCCTGGAGCCTGATGGTTGGGGCAAAACCTGTAAAAATAATGAAACCTTTAAAAATGTTTTTTTTTACTCCTGGACATCAAGCAGTCATACTGTTTTCATGATTGTAATCAGCATTGAGTCCTCTATCAAAATTGTGAAATTCATGGCCCCAGGGTCAGGGGTTTTAGTGCTAGGGCGGGGCTAGATTGATTAATAGTGAAAATGCATACATTTTTTGAGAATCTTCTCCTCTGCTCATGGGCATTAAATAAACTAACCAAGTTCATAGTTATGTTGAATAAGACTGCCTCTCCCCAATTTGTGAATTTCAGGGACCCTGGATCAGGGATTCTTGTTTTAGGGCGGGGCTCTAATGATTATTTAGTGAAATGCATGAATTCTTTGAACATCTTATCCTTTGCTCCTGGTTAATATGCTAATGATTTTATTACATATTTGTGACTGCGACTGGGAAAATGGGGCCAGATGAGCTAAAATCAGATTTTGAGTTTTTGTCATTTTTTTAATCCTCATAATGTAAATAAAATTTTGTCAAAAAAAAACAAAGTCATATCTGAAGGGGTTTTAAAGATATGACCACATCTGTTCATTGACCCTTTATAGAGTTATTACATAAAAAGACACTGAAAACAGGGAAAATGCACTTTTTCTATGACATTTAATCTGAACTTCAAATTTAAAACCAAGGAAAAGCAATGACTTAATTATACACTTTTTTTTTCTAAAAATTAAATGTATTGAATTTTTTTTTAGAAATGTACAGAATTGTAACCATTGTTGTCATGGCAACAAAATAAAATAAGACTTTTTGTCATTAACAAAATCATCTCTGCAAGAGTTCAAAGACAATCGGAGTTTATTAAATGTACATATACTGTGTTCATAAATTTTCAAGTTTCAAGGAAACTATAAACACTAACATAAAATATTTTCTGACTTAAAGAAAATAAATTCATATAAAAGTACACAGACCAAGTTTATCAAGTTCTTATCATATTTCCCTGAAAAAATGTTCAAAGACAGTTAAGGTACCTTAATTATGTCAACTCAGTGAACAGAAATTATGCCTGTTTACTTACATTGGGAAGAAATATGCAAAAGATTTATTCAATTACTTTATCTTAGTCTTACATACATGTAATGTTGAGAACACTTTTATCTAGTACACATGGTTTCTTTCACTGTAGATTTTAGTCTATTCTATCTTACATCTAAGGGCAAATCACTCTAAGTTGCGATAAAACTGCCATGAGATTTAGTAGTGTTTAGTGTGCAGTACTAAGAGCTTTCTTAAACAACTGAGAAAATAAATACAATAAACTTCCTGAGAAAAAAAATGCCCATCTCATTGCGAAGTACACTTTATAAGAACATGCTAAAACAAAATGATAAATAAACATGTACATATAGACTTGTGTACAATGTACTTAAAGATGATGATCTGGTGGTACATATAACTATATCACTTTAACAGTAAAGCATGAAAGTAAGTAATTTATGCAAAGCATAAAGCAATAAGCAAACTAAAATATATGGATAATCACATATTGGCAGATAATCATGAAAGAGTTACAGGGTAAAATGAATAGAAAATTTTTCATGTTACAGCTATACATTGCAACTTTTACTTAGAGCATTTGTTTGAATAAAACATGTAAATTCGCATTGACAATTACACATTAAAGAAATTACCATCAGTGAATCATAACTTGCCTTGCTTTAAACAAACCACCATACACACACTGATCAAACAGTGTTATTCACATGTGCATGATAAAGTTCATACAGTCATATAGAGAATCGGAATTAACCAGGTAATATATGAAACAATCAATCACAACTTTCCAACACTAAAAAACATAAATGCTTCGATAAAAAAAGTTGAAACATGTACAAATCACATGTTAAAAAACATGTACAGAATTAACCAGAGAACATGTCAATCTGTCCAATAAACTTCAAGTGAAGCAAACATGCTTTAATAAAATACCTTACATTTTAGATATTGTTCACACATGTTAAAACATGTACAGAATTCACACTCAGTGAATTACAAGCTAAATTTAGTAAAGCTTTTTTTCTACCACCCTTTGGTTTATATTCTTCACAGCATTCTGTTAAGTCTATTTCTTTTTTGGGAACAGTAGGTTTTGGACATATGCATTCTTTTGCTGTCTCTGAATAACAATGCTCTCTGATGTGGTCATAAAGGTACCATTGTCGGGCAGGTTCAAGGCCTTTGATGACTGATGGAGAAGGAAGAACACCTGGATTCGGAACTTTGCTTTTGCTTTTCAGTAACATGAAGGTGACAGGCTCAGAGGAAGCATTTTCCCGACATGTAATGATTCCTGGATTCTCCGAATCCATGAAGAAATGGTGGTAGCGGGTTAGGTACTTCAGAGGTTTAAAGTACACTTGTAAATAATTCTTCCATTCATAAAACAAGACAGGATCTTCACCATCACCTACAACCTGTGGTATATTATGACCACTTCTACTGGAAGTCCTGACGGATTCTGCCACCTTAAACACAATCAAAGGGAAAATGTTTTTAAATGACTCCAGAAAATGATATACATGTATAAAAATCTCTTATTTTTTGATCACAGAAAACTTGACCAAATAAATATATATGATGACTACATATATTATTTTCATGTACTTGTAAATAAAAGTACCTGTGATATTGTTTCAGCATAAGTGTTTCTCCAGTGCACCTTCCAAACACCGAAATGCCAGTCTGGCTCAAATTTTGTGTGACCAGCTACCATCATCGAGTATTCTATGGTTCTGTGTAGCCCTGAAGAAAATGTTTGAAAACTTAATATTCTTTCCTTTACTTTCCCTGAGATGCTGTTGATGGTGTTGATATATATTGAATAAATTCATGTAAAGTGTTGATAACACTTAAATAAAACTGGTGTACTGTAGTACATATTACACACTACCTATTACAGAAATTATAAAAATATCAGCATCAACCTACCTGTCAACACCCTCCAAAGGCCATACCATAACACAACATTGTTTTTATTTTGTCCTGTACAGTTATCAAAGTGAACCTTGATATCTGTTTCTCCATGCCCAAACTTATCAAAGTAATGGTGCACCATGCTTGTAACACTATTAGCTCCTTTCCCAGGATTAGATGCTTCATCAATTAGATAAAAGGTCTGTTTTCCTGTTAAATAAGCATGTACATAAATAACATGAAACAAACAAATATCCAAATAAACATGCAGTAGTTACAGCAATCACTAAACTCAAGTTTTTCTCCATGGAGTTTTCAATGTAAAATATTAATGTATCATATAGATTTCAAAAATTATAATCATATGAATGGAAATTAGAGATATGTTGCATGGTAAATGTAACATTATAATGTCTTAAAAGGGTTCCCCCAAAAAAGAAACATTCATAATGAAAGGTATACATGTAAATGAAATCTAGGTTAAAATGAATGAAGCGAGAAAAGTATTTAGATCATGAATATCACCAAAAGGAAAAATATTCCCAAGAAAACCTATGATGATGAAAATTACCTGATCCTTCAGAGCAGATACCAAACACATGGCATTTACGAGGGGTTTTAAAGTAAATCGGCCCCACTTGTTGAGCATGGTGTGGAATATGCACCTGTTGAGCAAAATCCCAGGAGTAGTGCAAGGTGGTTTGAACTGACTGTGGTGGGTTACCTATTTTAAAAATCATACTGTTATTGATATATGTAAAAGAAAAAGAAAAAAAAAGTAAAAGAAAAATCTGTGTCAAGACTGGTAAAACTTTACTCTGATCTCATGGGCTTGTTCCCATCGTGAAATAATTATTTCTTAAAAAATCATATACCGTAATAATAAAACGTGTATATGATTTTTTAATAAATAATTATTGCACGACAGGAACAAGCCCCCGTGCTCTGATACAGCGGATACATTGTATTAAAATAAATATTACAAACAAATTACATGGTTTAGCTCTTCATCACATTTGAAGCATTAAAGTTTATCAGAATTTCATAGAAAATTCAATTTCATGTCATATAATATGTTACATGTTTATGTTTCATAAATGTAGATATATATTACACAATGTCCTACATATAATTTTATTAGGTTAAACATGTGGACATTTTTTGGTTAAAAAACTTACCTGAATCTTGAAGAGCAATTGGCAATTCCAGGTAATTCTGTTTAGCCAGTTTAACCTGCTCACGATAATAGTCCCTTTGTTCTTTGGCAAGTTGTACATGACTGTTATACTCCGCAAGCAATTGCTCCTTCTCTTCCTCAGCAAGATTACCACTTTTCGAAATTCTATTTGCGAAGTCCTGACATTTTTGACACAAATCAGTACAAGGTTTTGTAATAACTATATTTGGACACAGTTCCTGCCATTGTCTTTGAAATGTTCGCAGACTTATGCTTCGGTATTTCATTACTTTTGCAAGGCTTTCATATTCTTCATAAATGTCTACAGTTGATTTGTCCGATGGTAACAAAAGAACTTGATGATTCTTGTAATTTGGAAGTCTACCGGGCAGTGGCAGGGCATTGTCCGTGGCAAATTTCATCAAAAATGTCTTGATCCTTACAGAATCCTGGTACCGCAGTGCATGTTTTGGAGGTTTACCAGTTCCGCCATGAACTCTGGGAGAGAGTCCATCGACATCAAGAGAGTGTGCAATAGACTGCAACTTTTTCCTTTCTATACCATGAATAAAGCAGAATGTAAATCTACATACCCGTTTTCCTTTGAAGTAAAATTCTTGATAGGGTCGTTCTCTTTCTTTTGTTTTGTGTTTCTTTGCTTGAGTATGAACACTTGAACGACGATGGGAAAACAGTTCCGCTTTAATAATCAGATCAAGCTCATCCTTGCTGACTTCTTTACAGTGCTCTCGGAATTCGATTGCCGATTCCATCCCAGATAGCATGACTACGTTGGGACAATGTTGGCCCGATGTAACACACTTTGTTGGGCCGACGTTGGCAGCCAACGTTGGCGCAATGTCTAAGTGCACTGTGGCCCTTTGTTGGCCCAACATGTTGGGGCGATGTTGGGCCAACGTTCTAATGTATTTTTGTAATCGTAGGGTCAACATTAGACCAACATAGTACATGGCATGTTATAGAAGGGCCAATGTTGGGCCAATACCAGTAATGTCATGTTAATATATTATCGCAATACCAACATTATTCCAACATACTTTATAGCATTGTAAGTGAAGGGCCAACGTTGGGCCAACAATAAATAGGTACGTAAGAATAGAGGCCAACATCTAGCCAACAATAGACAGCTTACGGAGAAAGTGTAGGGCCAACATTGGGCCAACAATAAATGGCTAGGAAAGTGTAGGGCCTACACTGGTCCAACACGGTGGAAAACTCAAATTGATTACACAATGCATGACTAACATTTGATTTACAAAGAATAAAAAAAAATGCCATTTGCGGACAACCAGGGTAAAATACATGTATATTCACGTCATCCACAACATGGTTCGCATTAATCTAGTAAACTCCATTTGATGTGAATTTCGAATTGACATTTAAAATAATCTTTCTTATATATTTTTTCAGGAATATTCTGATAAGAAAATAAAAAAATCCATGTATTGATTTTAATAGTTGATGTTTTTGTATTTTTAAATCTATTATAATTACAATTAAATGTCAAGCAATCCTTCATATTATTAATCATGTTAATTCAAACTAAGTTTTCATTCTTTTTCTTTCATTTACTCAGTGTCATTTCCACTTTCTCCTTCTTTTTCATTCTCTTTCCTCTTCTCTTCATCTATCCTCTTCCTCTCTGCCCTTTTCCGCACCTTCTCGGTCACCTGCAGAGTGAAACCAATCTTTAACAATGGCGCAAATTTCGCTGTTTGTCGCTGCCCCTGTTAGCTTGTTTTTCGGACAGTCCTTAAAAGTAACACATTTGTTGACATATTGATGGCATACTTAATGTTACATGTATAGGCTGTACAGTTTCTTAAGTTTGTGGTCTACTGTTCATTTTGATCAATTCGTTTGTACACCTACAACTGAGAGGTGAAAAACAATATTTCCAGCTTTTTATATTGGACAAAATTACAACTTATACGTTTAAATTTACTAATTAAACAACTGAATAATTAAATAATTGGGGATTCTTTCACCCCTTCAGAATAAAGTAAATAAAATAATAATTACTGGTGACTATATCCTTGATTCCAATTGATCCGAAAGGCGAGGTCATTGGCAAAAAGGTAGGATAAGAGTCTTCTCACAGTGGACTTGACATTTTATCCTCCAATTGTGCATAAATTCTTTACCTAAACAATGCTAAAGGTAAATGCATTGATTGTGTATATTATTTAAAAGTTTTAAGACAAAACTTTCACCTTAAAATATATCATTACTCTTATACTGAACCAGATCTTTTGTGTTTGAACTTAAATATTAATGTGCATGTGTTAGATGTCTGTATAAAACACTGGACTGAAAAGTTTGACAAAATCAAAGCAAATTAATTATAGAATATACTTACATTTATTGTCTAAACAGTATATCCAAATTCCTTTGTTCTCACAAATATAATACGTGTGTACCAAGCTCCTCAAATGCGAAATTGTGAAATGGTTACACGTGCTGACCATCCTGATATATCAGATTTCGCAGTAACCGAGGAAACTGGCCAGTCTCCTGCTGTGAGAAGCAACGATGATGTCGACCTAATTTCTTAAACAGTGAATTTTGCTTTTATCTCAGAATATGCCCCCCTAAAACCAGCACTTTAGTGCAATTATGTAATAGATGTTCCTAAGATTTTATACAAGTCTGTAAATTGTTGATTGAACATTAACTAGTAAAAAACAAACACAAAAATGAAAACAAAATAAAAAAAAAGAACAAAAAGAGGGAAAGAAAATAAAAAAAATTATGTTTCATGTACTTGATATTTGCTCCCAACTGCAGTTTTAGCTAGGGTAAATGTAAATTCAATAACGCTTAAATCCCTAGATCTTAGACCCCCTCCCTATATAAATATAAATATTTTCTACATTCTTTTATTTCATATTAACGTTGGGCCAACGTTGGTAAATGTATTATTCCAACGTCAGCATAGAAACTGTAGTAAAGCGCTAACTGCATAGTAGGGCTATTGTTGGGCCAATGTTATACATGATGTGTATTTTACTTTTTTTAAGCATCATCATTTAGATATATTACATATACGTTGGGCCAACATTGGTCCAGTGTGGTGAGCCCAACATGCAGAAAACTTAATTATAGCATATTCTGCACATGAAGGGTCGTCGTTGGACAATGGTTGTATACCCACTGATCTTGGTCAGCATGGATAAGGGCACATTTAAAACGTTGGGCCAACGTTGGTTCAATGCAGTTGTTCCCAACGTTAAAAAATACAGGAAAGCTCAGATTTATTACATAGCACCATTGTTGGACCAACATTGTCTTCCTAACTTACATTTGATCAAAATAGAAAAGCACCCTATTGGCATTGGCCCAACGTTGGGCCAACGTTCAATGCCCAACACCAACCACCAGCCAACAATACAACCATTTACCAACGTTGGCCCAACATAGTCATGCTATCTGGGATGTCAATAACTGTACTGCATGGTTCACCGTAGAACTCCTTACATCCACATGTATCACTCCTAAAACGGGCCTGGGCAACATACTCCCTTGTGTCCTCATCCGTTGGTTCAATATTTACTGGATCCACGTCTTCATCATTGTCGGAATCAGATTCAAAGTTTTCGTCAGAACTATTTTCGTTTTCGATCACATTGTCACTTTCATTAAAATACAATTCATCTACAACGTTTAATTCTTCTATGAAACTAAGATCTTGATTATCTAAAATTTCTTGTGGTATAGAACACGTACTTCTTGTCTCCCCCTGACTCATGATGCCTCATCTTTTCGCTTTAGATTGACCGCCATATTAGATCACCAATGAAAACAAAAAGAAGGGAAGTAAATCGAAAACTTCCGTTTCATTATTTTGGCGCTTAATTTAAAACTAACAAACGAAAAAAAATATTCAAAGTTTTTGAGACAGACGACATAATTAATAATTAAATGAAATTTAAAAAAGAAACTATGAAATTAATAGGCCTAATTGAAAAAAACAAACAAAACCAAACAAACACGTGTCTAACGTTTTTAGCGCGCCATGCTTGTATCTATGACGTAAGTTTGATCGCCGATTTCTCATTATGACGTTTGCCGCATCTGGCCCCTTTTTTCCAGTCGCGGTCACATTTAAGGCCATGATATACTTATTATCAGTTTTACAAACCCTCCGCTCAAGGTTTTGAATTTTCAGAAAAAAATAAACATTTTTTTTCTTTCCGATGTCAAATTTGAGTCGGATCGAAATTTCAAATTTACAAACTCGCACTTCCGGTTTTAAGATAAAACGGCGGGTAAATAAAGCTAGATCTGCGAAGATAGCTTTCATTTTAGTGTAAAATTCATCGATAAGAGTGCAATTCAAATCGTTTAACCCGTTGAAAGGACAAATAAAATGCTGAAGACTTTGTTGCACAATGACATGCTGGTGAGATTTGTTTCAAAAGTATCTGTCTGTAAATTATTTTCCTCCCACAGGTTTTAAACTGCGCGTGGTAGCTATTGCATACTGCCAGTGACATTGTTTATGTCTCTGTTATAGCTTACAGTCTAAGCATCATTCTTCAAAAAAGGGTTGCTTATGTATCAGATGCAATGAATAAAACTATGGGAGAAGTTAAGTCCATCTGCTTGAGGAAGAAATAAACAATAACCTGAAGAAATAAATAAAAACCAACTATTAAAAGCAAAACTATACAAATATATACAGGCATGTAGTATCATTTGTATCAGCCAGAAAAATTGTTTTACACTTAATTGAAAAAATACTCCCTGTCTGTTTTATAATTATAGGAATTATAATTTTAGGCATCATGCAAGTATATTTTAGAACAATGTCTACACATTCACCTAACACATATTTAAAAAATGAAGATATATTGAAAGACTTTTTAAAGAATTGATTTTTAAAAATATGATTTGATCAAAATCAAAAAAAAAAATTATAACTATCCCAAACTGGCAGATGAGGAAATAAGCAATTAAATGTTCTACATTCCTATTTGTAAGCATTATGTGTCCAGTGTAAGGAAAAATATCAATACTTTAATCCAGAAAATTCAAAGTAGACACGTTACAAAGCAAAACAAACACACAATATAGTGTCAGTCTGTGCAGTTGCTGTGAGAATACTTTGACAATTGAATGCACTCGGTGAATCGTAAACGTTAACAATAATAGAGTTCATGCCCTGTTTATAAAAACTGTGTGCATAACACTAGTATCATCGATTTGCTTAACTCTGTACACTACACTTAACTCGCATTGACGATACTTGTGAAGTTACTCTGAATAAAATTATTTTTCTGGATTAAAGTTTTAATATTTCTCATCAATTTACAACAAAATTGCCACTTTTCCTAAGAATTAAGAATAAAGTTAGTTTGTGTGAAAGTGCAAGGATTTGTAAATCAAAAACGCCAAAAACGTTTTAACAACTTTAAATGACATAAGATTTTAATTAATTTTCGTGCAAAAAGCTATTAAAATAAATAATGTGTGATATTAAGCGGAAAATATTAACTTCACATCTGTGTCCAAGTACCTTTGAAAACATTTTTTTTAAATCAAAGAGAATAGCCTATCATTGTAATTATGTAAAGAGGAAGTACATGTATCTAGTTGCAAAAACAAATCAAAGACCTTTTTATGAATTCATAACACCATACATGGCTATTTTGAAAAAATCTAGGATATAATTAAATGTTCCTTCTATAATTTCTCATGATAGTGAAAGAAATAAAACACAAATATATCAATCAAATTTATTTTT